CTACCCAAACACATAGAGAAACCCAAAACTGGCTTTTTTTTAAAAAAGGGACCAAGTCCGCAGCATGACTTGAAAAGTTTCCTCCTCGTAACTGTGTCGCTGTAGAACCTTGCAGTGAGGGAGATTTTTACTGCAGTATCTACAGTGGTATTAAATAAGGCTGATGTTTTATTCATAGAGGTTTGATTTTTAAAAATACTTTATTTCCGCTAAAAAAAAAAAAAAAAATCCCAATGCATTTAAGATGATAGTTTAAAATGAGATGGTATGTGATATCATTACACATCAGAATCAAGTAGGTTTGCACTTACAAGGAATTTGACTTGGTGATGGTGCAGACACATTTGATATATATACAGAATACAGAGTCTATAGCTATATATAATATAAAGCATACAATATACTATATACAATATATAGTATATGCCGGTAGCTATATACACATTAGACTATTCATTAATGTAATGCAGAAAGTCTGGAGATGCTGCATTGGAATAGTTCTATGTCTTCAATGGGGAAGGGATGGAGGCATTGTCAGTGTCATGGGGGCGTATGGGCCTTGTTGATAAGGCTGGTAGCGGATGGGAAGAAACTGTTGCTGTGGCATGAGATTTTGATCCTGATGGACCGCAGCCTCCTTCCAGAGGGAAGTGTCTGAAATAGTTTGTGGCAGGGGTGCGAGGGATCAGCCACAATCTTCCCTCCACACCTCAGAGTCCTGGAGGCGTACACATCCAAGAGAGATGGAAGATTGCAGCCAATCACCTTCTCTGCAGATATTTTATGCCAAATGATCATGCACTAAGGCAGGGGTCTTCAACCTTTCCCTGGCCAAGGACCGACAAATTGTTTGAAATTGTGTTTTATCAAGCTGGTCTTATAGCCACTTTATTATATCGGAGTAATGTAACAAAAGTAATTTCTCCCTGGGATTATTAAAGTATTTCTGATTCTGATTCCTGGTTGATGGGACAGGTGTTGTGAATGAAACGGTGCCCAGCTTGAAAGAGCTCCTGTGTGTCACTGAATATTGTGCATTGATGACTAAAAGACATCTTCTGCTTTGATTGATCTGTTTACTACAGTGTGTTGAATTCACGTTAATGTGTATTTAAAGACATTTCAATTAGTGGGGAAAAAAATTGCAGGGGGGGGAATATAAAAAAGAAGTCTGATCAACCTAACCTTTTGCGACCCCCATGCAGAACCTACGTGGACCCTCAAGGGGGTCGCGGACCCCCTGTTTAAGACCCACAAAATAGAACATTTCTTTTTATTGCTGATCTATAAGACTATTAAATTAAACAGAATTAGTCAGAAATATTCCACAGTCATCCTGCCTTTTCGATCATTATTTTTTTTCCATCTATTTATCAAATTGAGCCCTTATTTTGAAAAACTGCAGCATACCCTTTCCGGTCGTGCTGCTGTGTAACTTGCCAGCTGGCAGATGAGCTGGAGGGGCTGCAGGCAGTCAGTCAGTGAAAGTGTAGGCGGAGACCAGCCTGGTGCAGAAAACTCAGCCTCCTCTGGATCGCATTCAACTCCCCCCGCTCCCCCTAACCTCCCCCCCACAAAAACCCCTGATCCAAACAGTGAGACCTGAAGAGGAAAGGAAACAAGAAAAAAAAAAAGACGAGGTGCTCCTAACTTCTTTTCACCTCTATCTGCTAGGAATTGTCTTCCGGTGTTGACTTTTTTTTTTGCGAGCACCGCAACAAAGTTGAGGGTGAGAAATGTGAAGCTACCGGCTTGCCTGTTTCCAACCAGCCTCCAAGACTCCCCCCCTCCCTCCACATTAATCCATGCAGTACAGTGCAATGGTACGTGAACATGCAGAACCTTACTGCTTTTAATGTTGTGATAAAGTTCTGTGTTTTGCATCATTTATGTTTTTTTCTCATGCGCATCTTTTAATACTGTCCTTTCTTTGGCTGTGTGGTTTTGAAATGTTGGAGGAAAAGCTGCAGAAAGTACCTTGAACTTGAACTTTGTGCAGACTGATGACAGCTCTGCAGAAACACGTGTTTTTTTTAAATGTAGATCCTTTTTGAGTGAGAAACACAACTTTATGCATTAAAAAGTTGCACACTGTATGCATGTTTTCCTTGAACTCTATTAGCAGCAGGGGCGTTACTTAGGGGGGGTCCTAAGGGGCAATATTCAAAACGAGATTTTCTGAGAAGGAAGTCTTCCATTTATTACCATTTTAAAATAGAAGTCATTAAATAGAGAAGAGTCTATATATATATATACATATATATACATATATATATATATATATATATATATATATATATATATATATATATATATATATATATATATATATATATATATATATTGAGAGAATTAAAATCGCCGACAAGGAGAAGTTGAAAAACAACTATAAACATGCACTCATTTTTGCAACCGTTACTGTAGGAAGCACAGTTTCTTTTGTACAGTGATTTCATTATACACATACATAAAATGTTTCATTTGTACTTTTAAGCCCACTTCAAACATCCACACCTTGCTTATGGAGCGTGGCATCACAGGGAAGTGTTTACATTCCCATTTCAAGCTAAGCATTGATGAAATTTTAATTTCAGAAATAGGGGGAAGCAAGTACTCTTTAATATAAAATACTTGTTTGACCATCCAATCATAGACCCGATTCAGTGGCGCATCAGAAGTTTGTAAAGTGAGATTTTTAGGAGTGACAGCGGTGAAAGTCAAAAGACGGTGGGCCAATCAGGAGCTTGTGGGCGGTTTAAACTCAGGGAAATGGGCTTCAGCTTGAGCGGTTTTCTTCTTGGTCCTTGTGCTCGACGAATGTCTGTGTACTGTAGCGTAACATTGTTTTTGGACAGTAAAAAGTGCAAGGGGTCATGTTATTTTCCTTTTTGCAGTTTGTTACTGGTTTCTACAAGGAAACAATCACTGACAATGGAGGTTATGTGCTTTCATGTCCATTTTGGATAATTTTCATAAATTACGCATCAACCTGCTTGGACTATATTAAATAGTTACTAAAAGCAAAACAACTCTATTTATCCCTTGGGATTACTCCTTCAGGGAAATTCTGGTTCCAGTTAAGGGCGGAGCTAGATAGGGGGCCAGAGGTGGCCATGGCCACCCCTACCATTTTTTTCTCTCAAGTAGAATTTTCAAAACAATTTAATTTTAGATATACAAACAATTACTTGACAACAAAAACACTGTGGTCAATTATGCACATCAATATTCTAACATTATGCTGCGTTCACACCGGGGGCAGCAAAAGCAGCAAAATCGCGTCTGCTGCTTCATTTTTGCTGCTTGTACCAGTGAATTCTGACGCGCGTCTGAAGCAGCTTTGCTGCTCTCGCTGCGCGGTCCAAAAGTGTGTCTGAGGCGCGTTGGGCGGAGCTTCACTATCCTTTCTCTGCCTTGCAGCTATATTTGCTGTGATCAGTGGGAATAAAGTAGTTTTAATATGTGTTTAAGTGAGAAAATACACCTGAAAACGTAATCAGTGCAGTCAGTTCATCCAGATTACAATCCTGCCTCCCAATGTTATTTCTGTCGGAGCCGCTCAGACCCCCACATACCAGCGGTGCGCCGACAGAAGGAATCCATTCATCAGCAGCCTCTGGCCGGGTCGCCTCCTCGCGGTTTACCGCGGCGGCTGGTAGGTGTTTTTCATCTAAATAATCCGATCTGCAGGCACCAGAATAATAAAAGCGAACATATTCTGCCGGCAGATGTATATATTTTAAGTTAATTATGCTTTAATAAACTGTTTAAGAGAAGTGATCAGAGCAGTCTGTGTCATCAGCGCTGTGTCTCTCTCCCAGCCAGCTCCCAGATCAGCTTCTCTGATTGGTTGACGCGGCGCGTCGAGCAGCAAAAATTCAATTTTTCCATCTCGAGCAGCAGCGCGTTTGCGGCGCGTCAGATGCCAAAACGCGCCCGACGCGCTGCTTCAGCTGCCCAGACGCGCTGCGCTTGCTGCTCGAAACGCGCCGCGGGACTTTTTGCTGCGCCTTGACGCGCGTCAACCATTGACTTTGCATGTAAACTCGCTGCTTCTGTCGCGCCAGCTGCCCCCGGTGTGAACGCAGCATTAGAGATGATTAGTACAGAATTCCTGCTCTTTCAGAACTAGATTTTGTTTTAAATGCCATAAAGAGAAAATAATGTGACTCTACAAGTCTTCAGTAAAATCATAGATACTGTAAATAACCATTTTAATAAAAATCTATTTAATCATCAAGTTATATAGATATTAGTACTTGTAAATATCAATTTAATGCAGAACGATATTGATAAAAGTAGGTAAGTAATGAAGACGGAAAAGATGTTCGCTCCATTTATCCAATATACCTTTTATCTAGACGGATGTTTCAATATATGCATATATTTGTCAGCAAAGGCTGTAGGAAACTTTACTTCGTCTTTATTTAGAAAATATTGATGTTTTGCTCGTTAATTTTCCTGTCCGAACAGTGTAGATTAACCCTGAGGTTGTGGTGCCACCCCTCAGTGTACATTGGTTATTGCCTGGCCCCCCTTATAAAACATTTCTGGCTACGCCTCTGGTCCCTGTAGTTGATATAAAGTACAAAGAGGTAAAGCCACAGACAATATAAAAAGAGTGTATTTAGTACAAAAAAAGCATTAAAAGTTGCAATGTCGTAACATTTTTCCCTTAGATATAAAATAGTTTTGTCTGCACTGTAGAGAACAATGAGTTAATGCCATAAAGAAAAGTTTGGTAATTATCAAATACCCAACCTGGATCCCCCCTCCACTCCCCTCCCCTCCTCTGTGTGACCAAAGCTCCGGTCCGAAGTCCCTGAAGCTCATAAAATAATTCAGCCGAAGTGAAGGCAGTAAATGAATTGAAGGAGAGGAGGGGGGGTGGATATGACTGGAGAGGGAGGAAGAGGAGTGGTGTGACTGTGTAATTACGTGAAAGAGAGAGAGAGAGAGAGAGAGAGAGAGAGAGAGGAGAGAGAGAGAGAGGGAGAGAGAGAGAGAGGGAGAGAAGGGAGGCTAGAAAAAAGACAGAGAGGAAAAAGTTGGATCTGATTTGCTGGAATCGCGGCGGAGCGACTGAATGTGGAAGGTTTCCTCTCAGCTCTGGCTGGAAGCTTTTAGCAGAGGGTGACTGATCCTCTGCGCTCTGCGCGCTGCGACTAAATACGCACAGAGAGAGACACAGGACGCGCAGCTCCAACTTGCTTCTTCTCTTATTTTTTTTATTTATATTTTTTTGCAGCTCCTTCATATATATATATATATATATATAAATATCTCTGCGGTGGCGACAATCTGTGGATCGCAACTCTTCATGGATATTGTTGGATAATTTCTATCCGGATCGCGCGCTCACACGCTCCCTCTCTCTGTTCGGTGCGCACCGGTGGGTCCAGGACGATGGAGTGATCGGAGGAATAAGTCCACCTACAATCACTTTTCTCCCCCCCCCCTTCCCCTTCCTTCCCCGGCTCGACATGTATTCGCCGATTTGTCTAACTCAGGTATTCTGCTCTGGTTCTTCTATTTTCTTTCTGTTGTGAAGTTGGTGCTGAGTTTGGCACATAGTAGGTGAGCTGGAAGGTGTTTGCGCGCCCAGAAATAACCTTTTAATCTTTTATGGCAAAGAAATAAAATAAAAATACAATTATATAGACTAACCTAACGTGAAGGAAATATTGTTGAAATAACACCAACTTTATGTCTTTTATTGATTATAATAAAATTGATTTTAAATTAGTGTGCAGCAAGAAATTATGATTTTACAGTTGATTTAAAATCAAATAATTGATTCACTTAAAAAAAAACAAAAAAATGTATTTATTTTTTTACTGCTCTGTTGTGCAAACCCAGTGCATGACCCTAAGGTCATATAAAACCACAGAATAATCCACTTATTTATGTTTCCTCTTTTTTTTTAAACATTGCTTTAAATTCTTGCAATCTACAGTAGCAGCATACTGAAAAAATAATGCATCCTTTTTTTGTGCATCTACTTTAGTTACTTTACCACAATTGTTTACTGTTCTAACCTGTTTAAAATAACTAAATGATGCAAAAAAAAAATAATAATCCAGCAGTAACAGAGCCATTGTGAATTCCCTCATCTTGTTGTTTAAACAATAAACAAAACGCTTAACAGTGACACTGTTAACGCTTTAATAGCTGTAATAATTGTAACTCACCGCTGATCGTTACCCAGTTTTACTTGTATAATAACAATGCTGTAAAATCAATGTTCGTCTTTGCAATGATTACTGTACTTAATGCAATGTTGCAGCTTGTTTTCCTAGCTTGTGTAAAAATGCAATCATGACAGCCGACCGCAGTCTTTCACTAAAGTGGAAAACAGGCTAGTTGGTTTTTCCGGTTAGTTAATTTATATTCACTGTAGCTCAGAGCTTTATCTTTCTTTCTTTTTAAACCGCAATATATATCTTTATATGAAACAGACTGGTTGCACAGAGCGGAGGTGTGAAAAATGGTTTAGTTTTATCGTTGAAAAATAAACAACTAATCACTTTACATTATCAGTGTTGGTGTAAAATCTAATTTTATTGTAAAAGCAGCAAAAATATTTGGATGAAACTTTTTTTTTAAATAAATCATGTGGTCCAGGTTTTCTCTAAATGATGGCCGTTACAGTTTAAGTTTTATAAGTCAGTTATTGTTGGTTAGATTTTCTGTTTTTGTATTTAAAAACCTTTTAGCTAATATATGTTGAAAGATGAGGTTAATGAATATTAAATATAAGCTCATATTCAATATTGCATCATTTTTTTAAACTTTCCTCACAAGCCTCAGCCCAACCTGATCTATGTTTATAAAGCAGAACATCTTCCCCTCAAACATAAATGTTTTTTCTTTAAATAAATGCCCCCCTCAGTGCTATTGGAGGAGATAAAGCTACTTTCTCTTCAGGAAGATCACATGCACTGATAAGGTTGATTCAGCGCTTGGACAGGGGTAGCTGCAGACTGTTTTGGCTGACTCAGTTTGACTGTTTATATTTTACTTGGCATAAGTCAGTGATTGACTGAGATGTGGTTTAGTTTGTGCTTAAGAGGATTGTGCTTTTATGGCCTCTGCTGAAGTGCACAGCTCAGGCCTTGGCCAAGTCATTTATCTTTACAGCTTTAGGCTTTGTTAGCCTGCTTAAAAGAAAAATAATAATAATAATGGCTCTAATTGGGATATATTTAGAGTGTTTTGCAGAAAACAAATGGGTTTTCTCTTTAGAAACAGCTGCTTCTGAGGCTAATTTAGCAGAATTTCAAAGTTTAGTTTTGTCGTTTTAATTGGACGTGACATGAAAATAAGCTCTGCTTATTATTTTATAACTCCTCCAAATGGGAAGCTACACAGCTCTCATTCAGTGTGATGTCTTGCTTTTAAAATAAAGGTTGATCTGCTGAGTTGAAAAAAAATCTCCTTTCATTTTTGAAAACGTTTACGTTAGGAGATTTTGAGTTTGACTGTGCAGAGACGAAATGTGGCTTCCAGCGGCATGCGGGAGCAAACACACACACACACCCTCTTACACACTGAGAGTGGATTTCTGTGGTTTCCCAATGCCCGCTTTGCCTGACTGCTTTCAAAAAGAACAATGTGTGGTTTCACTCCTCAAAAGCCTGCTTAAACAAGAGGTGGTGGGGAAGGTGGTGGTGGGGGGGTGCTTCTTACACTTATTAAATTTGACATTTTAATGACCCGAAAGCTAAGATAATTCAACGTTTCCGTTTCTCACCTGGAGGAGCTTCTATTTGTGACAGGATTGTTCGTCCAAATCCAGAGGGAAATGAGTTAAAACTGGGTGCTTAAGTGTCACCCTTGTTTGAAAATAGAAGATTAAAGTGTTAGCATATAATTAAATTTTGATTCTTTTTTTTTTTTTTGCTTTTTTAATATAGAGAGACTCTGTCAAATGCAAATCTTTTTTTTAAATGTATACTCTTTAGATGAAAGGTATGAAAGTGTGCTTAACGCAGAGGGAACAGGGAAATTTATGCTGGAAAATTTCAATTTTTTTTCTTTCCTAATTTAGAACAATTAAATAAAATGCTTTTTAAGTAGGCAAAAAAATAAATTGTGTGATATGTTTTGCTAAAACCCATTCAGATGAATTTCTCTTTCCTATTTATGCTAAAAATCAAAGCTTGCTGAAATGCCACTGCCTGTCGTTTCCCATTTATCCATGGAGGAGATCTTCTTAACATCCGACTTTGCGACTCTATCCTGTTCAGAAAGTAATCCTCAGTTCTTAGTAAGCTCGGGATGAGCTCACTTTGGAAGAGGGAGAGTTTGATGAGAGAAATGCAGAGCAGAGGCCTGCAGCGTGACCAGAAAATACGATTTCTCACAGAAAATGCGGGATTCTTTGTCAGAGCGGAATGTGAAAAATAGAATAAAAATGAGACATTGTGGAAGAGATTTTATTTGTCCTTTTTTAAAAACATTTCTCCTCTTTTTTTTCCTATTTTTATTTTTAATGAGATGATTAAATTTCCTCCTCCTTCCTCTCCTCTCTGATCCTCCAGGATGAATTTCATCCCTTCATCGAGGCGCTGCTACCTCATGTCCGCGCCATCGCCTACACGTGGTTCAACCTACAGGCCCGAAAACGCAAGTACTTCAAGAAGCACGAGAAGAGGATGTCCAAGGATGAGGAGCGTGCCGTCAAGGACGAGCTCCTGAGCGAGAAGCCCGAGGTCAAGCAGAAGTGGGCCTCCAGGCTCCTGGCCAAGCTTCGGAAGGACATTCGGCAGGAGTACCGGGAGGACTTCGTCCTCAGCGTGACGGGCAAGAAGCCGCCGTGCTGCGTGCTGTCCAACCCCGACCAGAAGGGCAAGATCCGCCGGATCGACTGCTTGCGGCAGGCCGACAAAGTCTGGCGCCTGGACCTGGTGATGGTCATCCTCTTCAAGGGCATCCCTCTGGAAAGTACAGACGGCGAGCGCCTCGTCAAGTCTCCACATTGCACCAACCCAGCACTTTGTGTCCAGCCTCACCACATAACAGTATCAGTCAAGGAGCTGGACTTGTTTCTAGCATACTATGTCCAGGACCAAGGTATGTTTTCAGCCCAGACTATGTATAGATAGATTTTTCCCTGTGTGTGTGTGTGGGATGGTTTGGTGAGGTCAGGGGTCACATGTGTTAGTTTCTGGCATCCCTGCTCAGTCTGGGCAGCAGTCATCGTTGTGAGCGCCAGACAAATAAACATGAGAAACGTGAGGAGTAAAACAGCTTAGACACAATCTATTATACGTTTTCTTTTTAACTTTTCAAGCACGGCTCATTACCGAGGAAAAAGCTAAATGTGTTTTCAGTACGAAATATTTCTAACCTCATCTTAGCTGCAGCGGCTCCTGCTAATGTGCAGTCGTTGTTTTTGTGTGCGTATATGTGTGTGCGTCTGTGCATTGGCTTACACTATCTAACACACACTGCCTGTCGGCTGGTTAAACACTGACAGTTATGGAAAGTCGTTGCACCAAAGCAGGAACCTTTAATGGGATTATTATTATTTTAATGTGAAGGATCAAAATATGATTTTTTTTTTATTGCAAAAAACTAGTGTTGCAACAGAATGATTTTTTTCCTATTTTAAAAATTCTAATCAATTTCTCATCAATGTTTTTGCTGCAGTAGAAGCTGCACACTTTTAAAAAGTTAAAACAGCATGAATATTTTTTCTTTTTAGAGCCTTCAGAATTTATTTACTTTCACTAAAAATGAATATTTTTATAGAAATCTAAAAATTATTATTATGAAATTATTTGAAATCAGTTCAGTAAAAATTTAAATTGCGGCAATTACAATAAAGGCAAAAAGAGTGAATTGAATCCAGTCATAAAGTGAAATTTAATGGAATTTAAGTTTATGTCATGCTAAATGCTTTTTTTCCCCACAAATTATAAAATTGATTAAATTAAAGTCTCACCATTTTTACTTTATAAAGCATCTACAGCAGCTTTGATGCATTTTTATGGGTTGAATAAAAATCAAATTAAAGTCAGAGTCATAACTGGGAATATTCTTTTTATTTTCCGTTTTTTTATGGACTTAAAACTATAACCCCCATCAAAGAGTCTACATGACAAGCTGTTATATTTAAAAATAGAGGCTGAGCAATTATGGAACCAATAACATCAATTAACTATTTTTTAGTGTTTATTTCAGTATATCAATGCTATGTGTGTAGATTCATTTTTGCTAATGTGGGTGCGTTTTTTTTTTATTCCAAAAAACGTAACATTTTTTTTTTTTTTCATCAAAATGCATTAAGAAAATTTGCTAATTTCTAAATTATCTTTTTTATTTAAAAAATGCACCCCTCAATCATCCAGATATTATTTCAAAAATTTTTTTATTTATTTGCTCTGATTAGTAATATCAGGTAAAAAAAAAAAAAAAAATCTAGTCATTAAATGCATTTATATCATTTTCTATTTTTATTCTTGTTTCTTTAGGTGATATAAAATCCTATAAAGGGTGAACAATCATTCACAAGCATTTTCATAATTTTTTCGATGGATTCAAAATGAACCACCTCTTCAAAAGCAAACTGCCAGAAATGTTTTCCTTTTATTTTTCTAATTAGCATCTCTGATTTTGTTTTATTTCTAAACACACCTGTTTTAGATTTGTGCCTAATTGTAAACTCATCACATTTTAGTAATTCCTTCAAGCCTAATAGAGCAGTAGAGTATTTTTAACATCTGGCGTTTTGTCCTGGAAGAGATTTAAATAAAGTTAGTACATGAAAGCTAAAGTTAATAAAGTAATCTTCCCTAATTTAACAAAATAAAAAAGTATTAACATCTTAATGCCACACAGTGGCTGCACCCTAATTCGTTTACCAGGAAACTATTTATTTGGCTGCTATTTATAATCGGAGATTATCTGTGAAAAGCAGCTGGGAGATTTAGATTTTCTCCTCACTCTTCACACTTCATCACGACGAAAGCGTCATTTTTTCTTGGTGCTGAAATTGACTGATTTTGCCTCTTTGTGTGTGATGAGCTATCTAAAAAAAATACAAGTCCTTTATTTTGGGATAATTTATCACTCTCGACCTTCTTAAGTTCACTGTCTCTAATGACAGCACAGGAATGCCTTCATTCCTGGATCGCTCCCTGATAAAATCCCCTTTCATTGAATCTGTAGCTGCAACATCGAAACGCTCTGCCACTGAGGGGAGGAACGGTGGTCTAGCTAGCTCATTACCATCAAATCCTGAGCACCATTTTGTGTTTGATAAGTGCCAGGGAAAGCAGAAGGCACAGCACGGAGACAATAATGGTTGCCACTGGCACCGGGGTTGGCATCAGACCCTCCTTTTGTGTCTTTTGTAGGATGCCACCGCTCCTCTTGTTCTGCATCTGCTGCGTTTTAACCGGTCCTTGCCAACGTTTAACACAACACATCCTTATTTTTTATTCCATTTTTAGAGATTTTTGTGTAAAGAAAGTGTTTTTGCATAAAGATTGATGTGTTCTAACATATTTTCTGGAAGAATACAAATATATGTCGGCATCTTTTTTCCTCCTTTTCTGAGGTGAAATCTTTTCCTACTCCGTGAAGTCGCCTAGCGGACACCGAAACCCAGGCGGTGCAGCCATGTTGTGGGCAGCAAGGCGATGCGCCGCCATTTTGTTCTACGCAGTGCCAGGGAGGCAGGGCGGCTTGCCGGACGACGGTTGTTAGAGGTTCGGAGGTTGGCATCAAACCCTCTTTTGTCTGCGTGCAGCGTGCCTTTGATTCGTTGGTTGGCATCCGCAATGCGGTGGGCATGCTGGAAATTTGATTTTTTTTTCTTCCCCCCGATGATGGCAGAATGGATGCCGCCGCTGCCTTTTGTTCAGCTGCAACTGCACGAAACAAACAAACATACAATCAAACACAAAGAAACCAGCAAATCAGGCTCTGGCTGAAAGAGAATCCACTGTTTAGACTGTGCTTTTAATATATTGTTCTTTTTGTGTCCTGCTCTGCTGAGCTGCGTAATCGAGTAACAGAAATTATTTAGCTGTCTCTATTTGCTCATCTGCTTTTTTTCTTTATAAAAGAGAATGTACATTTAGTGCATGTTTGGTGATAATCCCCGTGGTGCCTGGGAAAAGGTCGGCAGGTTGGCAGTGAGAGTCCCGGATGAATTTTGAGGGTATACTCAGAAAAAATGTGCCCCCTTGTTCTGGTGCACAGACGCGTTTAGCTAGGCCCGGCTGCAGCACCCATGTGCATGCCCAGATGAATGCCCGCTGGGAAGTAGGCTGAGGGCCTGGAATGAGAAAAGGAGGGGGGAGTCGGGATTCATGGCATCCATTGTGCCAACTGGCTGTTCAAACCTACTCCGAGCTTCTCTCACACACACACACACTCTCTGCAGAGGTACTCTGCACTGTTTTATCTGATTAAACCAGAAGTGCAATTTCTTTTCCCTTTCTTCTTTGAATCATCTCCTCTCCACACCTGCGCTCATGTTTTTTTGCATATCCAGTTTGACAGCTTGATGGAATAGTTTGCAACAAGGCCTGGCGATACTCATCATGTCTGGACAAGCTGGGGGCTCTGTAAGCTTTGCTTTTGTGTTTTTGTCTCTTTGTTCAGCAACTGTACGTCTGCAGGACAGGAGAAAAGTTCTCTAACCCCAATCATTTATGCTGTGGAGTCCTTTCCTGACATCCCAGACAACAAACAAACAAAATGTTTTGTTTTTTTTGCCTCCATCAGTTATGTTTTGTAGGTAGGTGTTCAGATTAGGGAGATCCAGTCTTGGCTCTCTAAATCTGGTTAAATGTGGCTTGAGAAGATCATAGTTTAAAACATAATTTGCATTGCATGTGATTCCCAATAATAAAATAACTGTAGTCAATAAACTTTTTTTGCTGGCCCCTAGAGTAGATCACCCCAGAGATAACCTCTAATTAAGCTTGAACAAAGAACCAGCTATGATAGTCTTAACCACAAATCAAAATATTTTAACTGGCCATTTGTGAATTTGCCTTAGACTAAATAGACTCTGTGTGCCTGTGCTATAGCTAAGTGAAATTTAACCATAACTCTAAAAAAATAAAATAAAACAATATTCCCAAAACAAATGTGAAAAATATAGCTCTGCAATTCAAACTTTTGTTTTTAAGTATGAATAAAAAGCAATCACTATAGCAATAAATCCTGGCGCTGAGTTGGGACGCCTTAAGAGGTCAGGGTCACGCTGTGTTCCCATTACTCCACTACTGAAAGTTAACACGACCATAAAACATCATTACCTTGACTTTGTAACTTTCTCTTTTTTTCACACCGTCACGATAGTTTTAGGAAATGGATAGATTACCTCTGAATGCAAACTGACATGTGAATGGAGACCCCGTTTTACGATCTCCAGACTTAACCTTTGGCCCCCCCGTCACCAACACCAGCCGTCACACTCTCCTGAGGTCAGGGCTTCTGCAAAGGGATGTGGCAGCGCGTCCTGTGAAGTTTAATTGAGCACAACAGATCGGTGAGAACACTGGTTTCAGGGCACGTGGAGGAGGAAGACTTTTTGTTTTGTTGTCTGGCGATCCCCTCGTTGACCTCCTCAATCAGGGTCAAACCGCAGCGGTCAAAGAATTGCTCATGGTCTTTTGGCAACTGTTTGTCTCTGCTCCCTCCCCTCCCACCCCCTCTGCTGCTTTCTCTTCTGGTCTGGCTGGTGGTCCCTTGGTTCAGTGGCCTAAGTGAGGGGGAGTAATAGTCAGCGGCGGCCTCCTCCCACATACCCTCACCTCCCACCCTGCCCACATCCTTTAGGTCGGGTCATGATCCTTGAGAATGGCCATCGCTCGCTCCCTGCCCTACTTGAGGTAGCCGTTTGCATCTTCTTTTCTGCCTGGTTGCCTCAGAAGCTTTTGGTCAAACGTTTGGTAGTGAGGTCCGACCTTCCGGGTCACAGTGGAGGTCCGTGACTAAGCACAACATATAACCCTTCCCTCCCTCCTAGCTTCCCCTTATCCTCCTCAGCCATCAGAAATCACCCCAGTGGCACGCTGCCCAGCCAAATGGCTCCTTCTCTCCCTCTCTTT